TTCCCATAAAGTGTCCTCTGAAGAATTATCGTGAACTTTAATAAAAAATACATTAATCAAAATAAAATTTGTGAGGGAAAAAAGTTTGTATTTCTGTTTTCGTAATTATATGAGTACTTTAAATACGATGATCAACAGTAAGTGGGTGGATGTGAGATTTATAGGACCAGTATATTTGTGGGAATGACACTCAGAAATAATTTCAGAGTAGAGCTAAATGAAGACTTGAACTGTACAGCTCAATAGGTACAGTACAGTTGTTACATATCTACTGAGTACTGAGCTGAACAGTTGTTACGTATCTACTGGGTACTGAGCTGTACAGTTGTTAAGTATCTTCTGAGTACTGAGCTGTACAGCTGTTACGTATCTACTGAGTACTGAGCTGTGCAGTTGTCACGTATCTACTGGGTACTGAGCTGTACAGTTGTTACGTATCTTCTGAGTACTGAGCTGTACAGTTGTTAAGTATCTTCTGAGTACTGAGCTGTACAGTTGTTAAGTATCTTCTGAGTACTGAGCTGTACAGCTGTTACGTATCTACTGAGTACTGAGCTGTACAGTTGATACATATCTACTGAGTACTGAGCTGTACAGTTGTTCCGTATCTACTGAGTACTGAGCTGTACAGTTGTTACGTATCTACTGAGTACTGAGCTGTACAGTTGTTACGTACCTTCTGAGTACTGACCTGTACAGTTGTTACGTATCTACTGAGTACTGAGCTGTACAGTTGTTCCGTATCTACTGAGTACTGAGCTGTACAGTTGTTCCGTATCTACTGAGTACTGAGCTGTACAGTTGTTACGTATCTACTGTGTACTGAGCTGTACAGTTGTTACGTATCTACTGGGTATTGAGCGGTACAGTTGTTACGTATCTAATGGGTACTGAGCTGTACAGTTGTTACGTATCTACTGGGTATTGAGCGGTACAGTTGTTACGTATCTACTGGGTACTGAGCTGTACAGTTTTTACGTATCTACTGAGTATTGAGCTGTACAGTTGTTACGTATCTACTGTGTACTGAGCTGTACAGTTGTTACGTATTTACTGGGTACTGAGCTGTACAGTTGTTACGTATCTTCTGAGTACAAAGCTGTACAGTTGTTACGTATCTACTGAGTACTGAGCTGTACAGTTGTTCCGTATCTACTGAGTACTGAGCTGTACAGTTGTTCCGTATCTACTGAGTACTGAGCTGTACAGTTGTTCCGTATCTACTGAGTACTGAGCTGTACAGTTGTTACATATCTACTGAGTACTGAGCTGTATACAGTTGTTACGTATCTACTTAGTATTGAGCTGTACAGTTGTTACGTATCTACTGAGTAATGAGCTGTACAGTTGTTAAGTATCTACTGAGTACTGAGCTGTACAGTTGTTAAGTATCTTCTGAGTACTGAGCTGTACAGTTGTTACGTATCTACTGTGTACTGAGCTGTACAGTTGTTACGTATCTACTGAGTACTGAGCTGTACAGTTGTTACGTATCTACTGGGTATTGAGCGGTACAGTTGTTACGTATCTACTGGGTACTGAGCTGTACAGTTGTACAACATGATAATCTTAAAAATGGACAATCTAACCCCCCGACCATCTTGACACCAGGACAATATGACAACAGGACAACAAGACATGCTGACAGCAGGACAATCTGACAACAGGACAATCTTACGTATCTACTGAGTACTGAGCTATACAGTTGTTACGTATCTACTGGGTTCTGAGCTGTACAGTTGTACAACATGATAATCTTAAAAATGGACAATCTAACCACATGATAATCTTGACAACAGGACAATATGACAACAGGACAACAAGACATGCTGACAACAGGACAATCTGACAACAGGACAATCTGCCAACAGGACAATCTAACAACAAGACAATCTAACATCTGACAACATGATAATCTGACAACAGGACAATATGACAACAGGGCAATCTCACAGCAGGACAATCTGACAACATGATAATCTGACAACAGGACAATATGACAACAGGACAATCTAACAAAAAGACAATCTGACATGATAATCTGAGAACAGGGCAATCTGACAACAAGACAATCTAACAGCAAGACAATCTGACAACAGGACAATCTGACAACAGGACAACAGGACATGCTGACAACAGGACAATCTGACAACTAGACAATCTTACAACAGGACAATCTGACAACAGGACATTCTGCCAACAGGACAATCTAACAACAGGGTAATCTACCAGCAGGACAATCTGACAACATGATAATCTTAAAAATGGACGATCTAACAACATGATAATTTTGACAACAGGACAATATGACAAAAGGACAACAAGACATGCTGACAACAGGACAATCTGACAACAGGACAATCTGACAACAGGACAATCTAGCAGGACAATTTGCCAACAGGACAATCTAACAACAGGACAATCTAACAGCAGGACATTATGACAACAGGACATTCTGACAACATGATAATCTGACAACAGGACAATCTGACAACAGGACAATCTAACAACAGGACAATCTGACAACAGGACAATCTGACAACAAGGCATTCTGACAACATGATAATCTGACAACAGGACAATATGACAACAGGACAATCTAACAAAAGGACAATCTGACAACATGATAATCTGAGAACAGGACAATCTGACAACAAGACAATCTAACAGCAGGACAATCTGACAACAGGACAACAGGACATGCTGACAACAGGAAAATCTAGCAGGACAATCTGCCAACAGGACAATCCAACAACAGGGTAATCTACCATCAGGACAATCTGACAACAGGGTCAACAAGACAATCGACAATCTAACAACAGGGTAATCTACCATCAGGACAATCTGACAACATGATAATCTTAAAAATGGACAATCTAACCACATGATAATCTTGACAACAGGACAATATGACAACAGGACAACAAGACATGCTGACAGCAGGACAATCTGACAACAGGACAATCTAGCAGGACAATCTGCCAACAGGACAATCTAACAGCAGGACATTATGACAACAGGACATTCTGACAACATGATAATCTGACAACAGGACAATCTGACAACAGGACAATCTGACAACAGGTCAACAAGACAATCTGACAACAGGACAATCTAACAACAGGACAATCTCACAACAGGACAATCTCACAACAGGACAACAGGACAATCTGACAACTGGACAATCTCACAACAGGACAACAGGACAATCTGTCAACAGGACAATTTTACAACAGGACAATCTGACAACAAGGCATTCTGACAACAGGACAATCTGACAACAGGACAATCTGACAACAGGACAACAGGACAATCTGACAACATGATAATCTGACAATGGGACAATCTGACAACAAGGCATTCTGACATCGGACAACATCCTAATCTCATATCAGGATAATCTGAAAATAGGGTTATCTGACAACAGAATAAGCTATCAATCTGATAACAAGGCATTCTGACATCGGACAACAACCTAATCTCATAACAGGATAATCTGAAAATAGGGTTATCTGACAACAGAATAAGCTATCAATCTGACAACAAGGCATTCTGACATCGGACAACAACCTAATCTCATAACAGGATAATCTGAAAATAGGGTTATCTGACAACAGAATAAGCTATCAATCTGACAACAAGGCATTCTGACATCGGACAACAACCTAATCTCATAACAGGATAATCTGAAAATAGGGTTATCTGACAACAGAATAAGCTATCAATCTGACAACAAGGCATTCTGACATCGGACAACAACCTAATCTCATAACAGGATAATCTGAAAATAGGGTTATCTGACAACAGAATAAGCTATCAATCTGACAACAAGGCATTCTGACATCGGACAACAACCTAATCTCATAACAGGATAATCTGAAAATAGGGTTATCTGACAACAGAATAAGCTTTCAATCTGACAACAGGACAAACTGACAACAGGATAATTTTACAACAGGTCAATCTGACAACGGGACAATTTGCCAACAGGATAATCTGAAAATAGGATTATCTGACAAGCAGTCTTATTTGACAAGTTAAGGTGTTAGCTAATAGAACCAAGAGTGCGTAAGTTTAGATGTCAACAAACGATACTGTCAACATCATTTAACTAACCTATCAGTCACTAAGACATTCGCATTATTTAAAGAGCCGTCCACATTCCAGTACCTATAGTGTATATAAACCTACACATTGTACCTATACAACTTATAACAGATCTAGTTTCATTCAAGATTTCTTAATCTTGTTGGAAATGTAAACAAATCATTTTATCAGATATGTATATTTTCCCCCCCAACACCGATTTCAAATCTCCAGGTTTTTTGTTAATGAGTTTTTAACACATCAAATATATTAGGTGTTCTGTGTATATATATATAGTAACCGACATTGGTATAAAAGAGGTTTATATATATATAGTGTGTATATACGCAGACGTGACCCAAATGTGAAAAACACAAATGAAAAATGCTTTCACATATTAAATGATTTATTAACATATTTTAAACATTTATTATTTTTCTCCAAAACAATTTTTACTAATGAACAAGACAGCTATATATAGGTATTTATCAAAATCTCTGTAATCCACATATATATGCCTAATATACATGATAATCTGTGAGGGTAAACATGTCTAGATATTGTAATTCTACGCTATACTTAATTCTACTGCTGCAACAAGCACGCACAAGATAAATCACCCTTTTTCTCCCGCTAAAAATGTTCAGTGGAGGTTTTTTGTATGGATCCTCTGGTAGCATTTCCTGTTTAATCCACACACACTGCATACAATCCTCAGTCTTGCCCAAGAGTGTGTCAGGCTGAAAAATTAATACTTTTCACATTTTTCATCCTTAGACTGTCAGAGAATATTTAAATATAATGAATCGCACCTCCGCTTTAAACACAGACACGGTTGGGTTGAGCCGACAGCCCTGCCATAGCTGTTGGTTTAGAGGGCCATATTTTATACTGTCAGCCAGAGAGGGCAAGCCTACAAGGCAGTCGGTGTACTGCCTCACCCAATACTAACACAAGTACAAGGGGTCGGGCCTGGTAATGTCCTGGTGACCCCTCCCTCACCAACAACACCCCCTCCCTCTGACCCAGGTCCCACCGCTAACTCCCCGTACAAGGCTTTCTCAGACATAGTAGCTAGGATATAGGCGATCCTTGTGCCGTCATCGAAGATTATTGCTATTTTATTGCTACTAAATCAGAGAGAACCTCCGTGGCTTGACTGTAACGACTACAGCCACTAATTAGGCTGACTAATTGGAAGTATCTATCGGCTTGTATTGGTACCTCAACTTCTCAAGTTTTGATTTTCATCAGTGTTTTTAAAACCGAGGAACCATAGGTATTTGAGGTGTGTATCGATACATTGTGTGAATGTTAGTGCTACGTGTAGCTATATATAATATAACGGTGTATCACGTCGTGAATTCTCTTTTTTGATTACTTGTATATATGTATAAGTGCAGTGTTGTGATAGGTTTGGTACAGAGACTGTGTTTGTTGGTCAGTGATATCTGATACACAACACTACACACACCAGGCCATTGTATGAAGCTTCAGCACACAGCAAATAAGCGCTGGCTGTGAAACCACTTCTCCATCGAAATAAAAACGTACATATATTAAAATATTTTCATTCGCTGAACCATTTACATCTAGTTTTCGTCTACTTGTGAATTTTGAAAACTTTTCACAGAATATAAAGTTTTTCCATATTGGATTTTTTTCCTTGGAACTGTTTCCACGCAGGACTAGTGTACTACGTTTCCTCTGGGGACAAATTACGCGAAGGTCTTACTGGACTGGATATTACCCCGTGAGTCTGCTGAACATTTTTATGACCATACGGAGGTCTCTGATTCGGTGGTGCCCTCATCTTTGACAGTTTAACAGGGATAGCCATTTTACGAGGTATGTCATGCTCAACACCCTTCTACTAATAAGCTTGGGGTACTCTCGGGACCCTAATACTAATAAGGTTGGGGTACTCTCGGGAGTACTCAGCCAGACATACACAATGTACTGTACCAAACACAGAAAAAACATTATACAAACATAGGGATTTTGTATCTTAAATTGATTTATTTTAAAGAAATTGTAATCTTGGATATTTTCTTGATTTTCTGTTTGGATTATACTACTTCTGGAGCTATCCTACAGAACCTACACTCACATTTAACACTTTGGTATAAAGATGACACCAGAACCTACACTCACATTTAACACTTTGGTATAAAGATGACACCAGAACCTACACTCACATTTAACACTTTGGTATAAAGATGACACCAGAACCTACACTCACATTTAACACTTTGGTATAAAGATGACACCAGAACCTACACTCACATTTAACACTTTGGTATAAAGATGACACCAGAACCTACACTCACATTTAACACTTTGGTATAAAGATGACACCAGAACCTACACTCACATTTAACACTTTGGTATAAAGATGACACCAGAACCTACACTCACATTTAACACTTTGGTATAAAGATGACACCAGAACCTACACTCACATTTAACACTTTGGTATAAAGATGACACCAGAACCTACACTCACATTTAACACTTTGGTATATGTTAAAGACTTGCATCAAAATATAAATGTCATAAATTGTATCAGTGGATCATTATTTTAACACTTAGTAACAATAATTGTTAGGGTCTCCCAAGTAATTTTGGGACACCATTGAAGTGTGTATTCAAATATCTGGTGCACTATAGCAATGAGGGTAGTTTAGACCAATTATTGACTTGTGATTTAAAACAAATTTCGTGAGGTTATTGTCCAGTAATATATTGTCTGATGTGCTGGAGGAATATATAAATTAAGTTGTCTAATGTTACATTTACTGTGGCAGTATACATGTACATCTAATTATTTGTAGACATTTCTGATATTACCGTCCTTGAAATCAATATCCTAAATCTGTATTCTGCAAATCTTTTAAAGATTGAGTGAAATAGATAGTTTGAGATATCTGGATTTATTCAAGAAATACATTTTCCCCCAAATGACAGACTTTTGAGATATATTCCTAGATACTTATAGATGGGTAAATCTGTGAAGATATACTTGTTACACTTGTAAGAATACAAACGTTGGACCGGTAGGAATGTTTGTAGTAGACTTTAACGAATACACTCTTATAGGGTTTGGCGTATGACGGAAGTGTAAGAATATCCTGGTAGGGTTAAGATAGATTATACTGGTCGATGGGTTAGATTATACTCTATGATGAGTGGGATAGCTGGGATCCTCCGGACTGACCCATGACCAAGGCTAACTTGCCACCTCTCTTCAGCGGGCTATTACCCTTCAGCGCACGTTACTTCTGCTTAGCCGCCTCGCTGAGTGACATGCACAAAGGGAAAAATGAAAACATTTTGTATTTCATTCACAATATTATTGTATCACCGTCCGTTATACAGAGAAGCTTAAAAACATGTTCCATTACCTATTGACAGGATTACAATAACGCCCCCGTCAATCTTTGAGATGACTCCAAAGTTCTTAGGACTGATCAAACTAACAGTTTCTATTGGTTGATAGAATCATATTTCTTTGTTAAAAAAACAGTTAACAAAATAATGTCTTGGCTATTGTTTATAAAATCAGAATCATATTTCTTTGTTAAAAAAACAGTTAACAAAATAATGTCTTGGCTATTGTTTATAAAATGTAATTGAAAAATATTTTTCTTTGTTTTATTTTCAAATTGTTTAAAAAAACCTTGTCTGTGTTGCTAGTAGTCAATTGATTTCTTCTTTTAGAAATTGAATTTCTGAAGTTTGTCAATATGATAAGGCATATTTATTTGTGTAACAACTGTACTGATTTTACATTATATTAATTTTGCTTCCTTTTTCTGAATTTACTTAAATGTCAAAATTTTCAAAGAGTCGATACTTTTTTTGTGTAAATATTTTGTCTAGAGAAGAAACAGTATAATTAATACAGAGTAATACGGACACAGTAGGATTCCTTGTTTTGACACAACACCTAAAAATAGTTGCAGGAGAATCTGAACGTCATGATGTTAACAAATAAATCAATGGCGATATGAATGTCTGTTGAATTAAGTAGAGAAATAAGTCTGTCCATACAATCCTGTATAATAGTCAAGGCAATGTCTACATTTAAAATTATGTCATTTCTCTGCAAAACCTCCCAACACAGGGAATTATTTAATATTGTTTAAATAGACTTTGCATTCACTTTCATCTTAGAAATATAAATTATGCATAACATCTTGAACACTATTTAAAATACAAATGAAAAGTCTTCTTAAAAACACATTTAAAGCATATGCATAATTATTTGAATGGAAAAACCTAAATCAGTCGCTGAAGGAGATTGTTATGTAATATATAATTGATTCTTATAATTAAGATTCTGATCTTAATTTGAGATTGATAGAATTAAATATTACTCTATGGATCGCTGGACCATTGATACAAAGAAAAAGAGATATTATAGGTGAAAAAGTACAGAGACTGATACACAAAGATAATTGTAATAAGATACGCTATAACCTGGTGTAGTGGCAGGTGTTCCCGTGAGGGATAACAAAACCACCCAATAATTACGGGCAGTAATTATTTAACAGATTTTCCACTGTTGAATCTGTATGAACACTAAAGGGTATTTTTAGGTTTCCGCTGCCGTATTAATAGAACTTCATAAGTCTCATCAAAATAAGGACTATAATTATTCATATAATCTTTTATATTCTGTATTAAATACTTTTCATATAAAGAATTATTGAGAATTTTTAAGCTCCATTTTTTCTTTTTATAAAATATTGTATACAAAATACTGCTAAACTATTTCATGCAAGTTTGTGTTTTAATATCGAATTCGGCAATTTTCTCTTGATAAAAAAATGTAAACCGCTAAAAACATTCTATAAAAATAAAATAAAAGGTTTAAAATATGTCAACTGAATTCTCCAATTATTTACTGATAAAAAATGATACAGAAGTTGATAAATAAATCAATGAATTGTGTTTTGAACATGTCAAACTGATTTCTTAATTTTTTTTATTCCTAAAAAGATAAACAAACTGCTAATATATTTGATTGAAGTGTAGGTTTTAAACATGCCCAATTTCCTATTTATAAAAATGATAAAAAATTCTAATATTCTTTGAAAGTTTGGGTTTTGTGTTGAATGTTTGCATCGAGAATGTTTGCTTCCAATGTTATAAAAAAGGCTCCTTTACAACAAACCACCATTATTATGTAAACGGTCCCCTCTCACAAGGTAGGATCTCCAGGTACACAGAATGGCTGACCCCACTGACTGATACAGCCTACACGTTTACCACTGTTGTTAGGGTTTACATTCTCACAAGTGTAATTGAAAAATTGAATGATTATTTTTACACTGTTGAATTTGCTGTTTTTTTCCTGAAAAATGTGTTTAAATAGTTTTACAGAAATATGAGAAATTGATATCCTCTATATTTTCTTTCTAAACCCTCACTTATGGGTTTTTGCTCTTTCGTCTTTGATTTCAAAGTTTGGTTGATAAAAAGTGTTAAAATATCAGCTATGTTTCACAGCTGGGAGAAATATGTGGTAAGATTCTGAAAGTTTTAATGAAGTTATCGAAAATGGAAAAATTCCGGGACAGTCTATTGTATACTACCAGTATATTATATGTGGACTAGTTTCAGATTTTTAATTAATTACATGTTTATTTTTTTTTAAATCATGTTTGTCAAAAATAATAATTTTCATAAAAAGTTCTAGTAATACCTGTTTGATTTTACCTGTAAATTTAACGTAAAATTCATAACAAATTTATTGAAAACATCCATTATTTTTTAACAAACTCTATTTATATTTATATCAGAGTTGGGGCGTTTATGAATACAGTATATTTTTAATGCTGTAGATTTTTTTAAAATGTTTGCTTAACATTTGTTTCTTGTATTAACGCAACGATGGAAACATAATCAGACATTTCAACTGTAGTGCATTAAGATAATGTAGTTTATGTGTTTATAGTTAAGATAATGTTGTTTATGTGTCTATAGTTTGTTTTGAGTTTGCTGGTTTATATGGATAAACGGTAAAATGTTCGGAGTGTTGGGTTACATCTGGGTCATATCAAGTGTAAGTAAGTATTCGCTTCATTGAATAAGTCTATTCAAAATACATATTACAAGCGTATCCTTTTGATCTTTCATCACATGACGACAATATTTATACTCTTGTAGTAAGGTAAAAATAACGAACGAAAAAAAAAAAAAAGTTCAATAATAATTACATTTAAAACTTCATTCACCCCTACATATTTAAACTGGACTTGCCCAGTCTTTGATTTGGTAAGGTTTAAATGTGACTTTAGGGATGAATGGGTTAATTAATATGATTTTAGCTTTTGCAAAAGAATTTTCCAAGTTTGACTGGGTTTTTTTTCATAATCTAGAGATATTTGGTCTATTTTAAAAAAAGTTTCAGAGTGTGTGAATGTTGGTCGTTAGTGTTCGATCCCTTTCTTTCTGATTCTTACCATTCGTTGGTGTATTCAAGTGTACCCTACCAAGGCACCTTGGCTGTCCTTCATCCTGAGAGATTGTCACAATTTTTGTAACTTTTTAGTACTAGATTGAAACTCTCTTCTCACAAGGTTCCAATCTAGCATCAAAAGTTATAACTTTTTTGTAACTAAAAAGAAGTAACTTTTTTGTAACTTTTTTCGGTATGGGAATATACTTCTTTGTCAGAATTTGTTTCATATCCTTCATGCTTCCAAAATCAAAATGGTGGTCTGGTCAAATTTCACGTTTTGTTTAGAAGAAACAGTCTGCTATAAATATGTCTCTGTCTGGAAATTGTCCAATTAAATACTGAAGTTTTCAAAAATTTTAACCCATCAAATCTATTCTCA